TTTGTTTGTTTTGGGTCACTAATAGCTGTGTAGAGCACCGCCTCTGCCAAAGCACTGGAGCACAACATTCAAGAAAAGAGGAATACCGTCGCGCTCCTGGAGACTGAAAGAGAAGCATTCTTGCGTGAGCTGATGGTAATAAAAGAACGGCTGGACGCATCGAAGGATGGGTATGTAGTTTTCGGCGGCCCGATGGCATATACTTAGCTAACATCTTAATTAGAAAGTCATTGGATCCGGATGAATTGAAGTCTGACCTTATCCGCGGATTAACCCGGGAATTGGAGGATCTGAAGGCGACCTTGAAGGCCGATATTCAGGCTTTGGTAGCGCAACGAGACCAACTTATGGAAGACGCTGAAAATTTTGGCCGTCTAAGAGAACAAGCAATCCAGGAAACCGAGCAGCTGAACATAAAGAACGCACAGTTGGCTGATTTGAATAATGAGCTCACTCGACGGATTCAAGGTCAATTCAAGGCCAACAAACATCAAGTCCCTGGCCTTGGGATATATGATGCAAGCAATTCAGATTTGTTGGATATCAAGGATCTGGATAAACGTTCAAAAATAGACGCATCAGCTGCCTTAGCAACTATCGGAATGCCATACAACGAGACGTCTGACGGGACAGAAGTGCTGGTGGCACAAAAGGTTTCCACATTCAAGAATGGGGCACAGCAGAAGAAGTTCTTTTGGAAGAAACCTGGTGCTTCTATTATGAAAAATGCAGGCAAACTCAGCAACAGAGTCTTTGCGAATGAGAATCAGATGGATGGTACAAACGGTGTCGATGGGCAAAACTTCCGTAATCAAGTGGGAACACAAGACACTCCTGGAGGTGGTAAATTGTTTGGTGGTACTCAGAAGAAATGGGGGAAGAACAAAGGCGGTGCGAATGGAACCAACGGAGGTTTGTCTTCAGATAATGGCGGATATGGTACGCGTCGTGGGCGTATTATGGACTGAATCATTGTACTGACGTGGTGTAGTGGCTATGTTTGGAGGCGACTTGGAGCTTCGTACTGCGTTTGAAGGAGCCAAGATACCCATGGTTGTCCAGAAATGCATACAGGAAGTGGAAATGCGCGGAATGGACTACGAGGGTATATACCGAAAATCCGGAGGCGCGCTCCAAATGCGTCAAATTCAAGACGAGTTCGAACGGGGAGACGACGTACAATTCGGGCCGGATCTTGATATATGCAGCGTCACCAGCATCCTGAAGCAGTATTTCAGGAACTTACCAAATCCTCTGATCACATATGAGCTGTATGATCGGTTTATTGATACAACTAGTATGTGGAACATTGGTGTTGTTATTTATCGGTTTACTAATTTTAATCAGATATTTACGACGAGGAGAAACGAGTTGAAACTCTGAAGGCAATTATTGAAGAACTTCCTCAGTCGCATCGAGACGTGCTACAGTTTATAATATTCCATCTTGCTAGGTTAGTCCTTTAACTCCCGATTATCGAGTTGCGTACTGATTGTCCCAACAGAGTCGCCGCAAGAAAGGAGGAAAACCTCATGAATACGAGGAATCTGGCAGTCGTTTTTGCTCCTAGTCTCCTCCGACATCTCTCGGACGAACGAGAAATGTCCGATATGCATACGAAGAACAATGCCATTCAATTCTTGATCGACTACAACGAAACAATCTTCTAACGAAGCCCCATGATCCTTCTATTACCCTACGTTTCTTTTTGTCAGAGTGGTCTTGTTGCTGGAGGCGTTAATTGAAATTTTGCGTCTGTTTCATTATTTTTTGGTTACTTCCCCTTTACTCTTCAGTTTACTTTGAGATACCATTACTCTTTAATTTCAAGTTTTGGCTGCTCCTCCTTCTGTTTCTGAGTTCGGGTTGCAGGTGTTGGGTTTTGGGCGATGTTGGTCGGCTGGATTGATTTTCTGTTCTGTTTGATTGATCAAAGCGTGCACTGGAGTCATCTCTTTCTGCGTTGGGTCATTTCCATTGTGAGGTGAAGTGCTTTTGGATAGAGTGTATGCATGGGCTTTGTTCGTATTGTGGATGTGGAGTACCTTTGAGCAAATTTGGAAGCGACGGGTTCTTCTGATCTTGAGGATGTGATTGCTGCTCTACAAGAGGCACAGTCGATAGAATTTGGGAGAGATCTCGATAGTGGACCTCAAGACTAAATTCTGATGCTGAGCCATATGCTGCTGGTATTCAGCACCACCGACCAATCACCCTGCCTGAAACGCCGTTTCACACAGTAAGTCGCCAAGAGCAAGCTCAAACTGTGATCCCTAACCCTACTACGGAGTTAATCTCAAGTTTGTACAACTTGCGATTTATGCGTACCTATCATAATCCGGCGTTTACGTGGAAACACATCTGTGCATATGGCGACATCCCGCATGGAAACTAGATCTTGCATGGATTCGTTTACGTCCTACCAAGCGAATGAACGCCTTGTCTGACTTTAGCAATAAGTACCTTCCATCGCACTACGCGGTTCCTGGAATATACGTGCAGCGGTGGCGTGAATCAAGCGACTATCAAAGCTTGTAAGGTCCAGAATTTACCCTGATATTTGATGGTTGATAGAATAGAATAGAACTAATACACGAACCCTAACCCATACTGCACAACATACTCGATACCTGCAGTTGTGATTGGTTGGGGTCCAATGCGAGTTGTTTCACCTTCCAAGTTGTGTTGCCATTCGAAGACTCTCAGCTGTTAAACAACCAGACCTCTACAACTTCCACCAAAACCCACCGCGCGCAATGTTTCACTGCCTTCACAACACCACCGTCTTTCAGCCATCACGATAATTTCTGCTTTGTCTTCCTCAACGGAAGCAATGCCCTCTCTTGAGCGTTCCATCTCTACCATCGGTCTCCTGCCTGCCAACAGCAGTAACAACGGTGATACAATAGTCGATATTGGTAGTATCGATGATCCGGCAGAAGAACGAGAATTGATCCAACAGGACCGTAATGTGATGGCAGCTTCACGACGCAACCACAACGGCGGTGACTCAGTGGCAATAAATATGGAAACTCTACAGACACCGGACGCTCCAGAGGGACCACCGCCATATACCCGGGTTGATCCATTGGTCTCGGGTAAACCTGAGGATCTTCCGCCTTATATCCAAGCTTTGTCGGGGGAGAGCAGTACTCCTCGAGACGGAAATATCCTTGCAACACCTGGAAGAGCCTATGTTAGTGCCAGTCGAAGGGGGAATGTCGAAGGGCCACTATCGGACGTTAATACCACTGATGGTACTCAGAACCGACCGCCAATCAAACGCGGCAGGAGGAAACTATGCACTCCCACCCGGATATGTTTGATTGTCGTGTCTTTTATTGCAGCTATTATCGCCTTTTCTATTGTCGGTAGATTTGTGAAGCCGGAGAGCCGTGATGATGCCAAAACCGAGTCGTGTGATGATGAAAATGCCGAGAGGTTGGTTCCGAATCTTATGTATGTAATTGGTAGGAGCTGATGGATTGTTCACCCATAGTGTCCCCTACTCCAGAAATCCAGAGGATTATCCCGTACTTCCCACCGGAGTCTTCAAATTTACAATTCCCCCAAACAAAGCTTCACCCGGATCGTCTAAATGCACCACGAACGACCGTATATGGAATTGCAACAGCTATTCGCAGCCACAAATGGCCTCTAAAGGAGCACAATTCCTTTGGGAAATAACCTACAACCCCAGCAACATGAGTAAACACCGCTCGTCTCGTTTTAGTTCCCCATATTTTTTGTCCAGCGTTGATCAATACGGACCGCAGTTTATAAATGAAGAGCTCGGCTACTCCGAGAATTATACTTACTATTACATGCTCGCTTCGATCACCAAAACTTCATACACCCACAGTGTTGAATCTCTTGTGCGACGCGGTTCCGGCGTATCTCAAAACGGGCGTGTATATCGGCGTTTCAACACCAGCGTCATAGCTGCACTCCCCGGATATAAAGAAACCGACAAAATCACGCAGTGTATGTTCCGCAATACCTGGGTTACCGTGAGACTAGCTCTTGATGCCGTAGATCGCAATAATTCTACTACATCCTACCCATTAACAACCCTCTCTATCGACGATTCGGATATTCCAAATTGGCCGGGAACGGTATGCGTTGAGGAAAGTCGGCCAGTAATAAACTGGGCCAACAGCTATGAGGAATGGCTCGAGAACGATTCTTACGGAGGAACATTCTGTAATGTTGTCGAGTTCGATAACATGGGTTGGGTTAAAGAACGGGAGACGAAGCCTCAAGACTTTGTGAGGGAGTTTTTTCCCTTTAAGGGAGGAGGAGGAGGGGAGGGAGGGTTAGGTGCTAATGAAGATGACTATGGGGAGTGCGTATGCCGGTGGGGTGAGAAGTTTAAATGGTTTTGACGGAATGACGGGGGGCGTTTATGGAAGCTGAGCTTTTACTGGAGCTTGAATATCTACGCCGAGTTGCTTGCTGGTTTGTTGACAAGTCTGCTGTCTTTTGCTACAGACCGTACGTGGATGTTTTTACGGTTTGGTTGAAGGGATTGACGTTTGTTAATTCTACTCTACTCTATACCAAAGTTTGGGATAGAAGATCCTACACGCGCATGTATTCTCAGACGCTGCTGGTGATTGGAGTGATTGTCGTGGCTGGTAGTCGTCGATGTTTGGACAGCCGATATACCTATGTATCCCTAGCCCCCGACATCAATGTTTCGGCACTTTAACTCGATACCTTGTCTCGTACCCATCCGGTAGCGCCAAGCATCAAATTTTCTCGTCGGCTACCTGATGGGGTGCGTCGATGGCGGTTAGGGTTAGTCACCCCAATCAAATTTGACGGCTGGGCTCGAGACAACTCGATACTGTGGTTGCAAAGAAAAAATAGCTTTAGGCCAGTCGATAAATAGATTTGACTGCTTGCAAACGCTTAATTGGTACCATGGCTTGCACTAACTCGGCTCCGCTTACTGCTCTTCGTCTAGTAGAACCTTAACAAGCTCAACGCCATCTTTTCTCTTGAATTATAGGTACGGTATCCATTCCATTAATGACATTTCTACATAACATTGCGACGATCGTTTAGGAAGAGGTATATGATCATGATGCAAGAACCAAACTATAACCCCCTTTGCAACGGACTTTCAAAACATCCTCTCTTCGAGGCAATCCAAAAAATCGCACAAAAAAAACACAAAAAGACAACTCCCACGCAAGTGCATTAACTACCTCGACCAGATAGAGATAATAGGAAAAAATGCGAAAAATGTAAGAAACAGCTATTATATCTTTTTGAAAAAGATTAGGGTCTATTTTTTCTCAAACATCGCTCTCCTCGCCGCAAGTGAGCTCGTCACGGTGGTGCGTTTCGGAATGTCTCTTTTTGTGGGAGACACAGGACGTGGCTGTGACTTAGGCAGTGGTGCACTGTTAGGTTTCTCATCTGCGCCCAGCTTCAAAGAAAGCCTCTTCACTATCGATTCTACCTTAGGTTCCTTGAGCTCATTCTGAGACACCGGAGTAGATTTGGGCTCGGGAGTGGTTCGGGCATTCGTTTCCTCGACATACTTGGCTGCCGGTTGTGCTTCTGGCGCAGGTTTGGTAACTGTAATCGGCGAATTGTGGTACTTTCGTGCAATAGTTGGCACCGATTCCGTGGGGACAGCAGTAGCAGTAACAGTTGAAATGACGGTCACTTCTTTAACCGCTTCGATAACCGTATTTTCGTCAGAGAGTGGCCATTGGGCAGGACCCAGGGCAGATTTCTCTTGGTGTGATGGCGTATCTGCTATTGCAACAGCTAGGGGCAATTCTGTATTCTCCTGCTTCTTCTCCTTCTCCTTCCCCTTCTCGTTGTCGTTGTCGTTATCGTTGTCGTTGTCGTTGTCGTTATCGTTCTCCGTTTCGGTGGTAGTGGGGGGGTCGTTTTTTGTGGGTACTGGGGGTGGTGGTAGGCTTTTGCGAACCTTAGGTAGCTCCTTCTCGTCTATCCGGCGCTTGGCACCTTCATTGTTCTCCCAAACAGTCTCCCTAACAATTTCTGTCGATGCGGTATCCCTATCCCTCGGTCCTTCGTCGGGCTTGTTTCCCAAGTCCCAAGAGCTTTTAGACCATCGACTGAAGATTGAAGATCTTGCAGAAGGTTTCTCTGCGGGTAGATCTGGAGATGCAGGCCCTTCTGGAGGTGGAGTTGCCGTTCCAGAGAATGCCTTCCTCCTCTTCTCCCCTGCCCATTGTGTCCAAGATGAAATATATGCTGTTGCCTTTGAGGGTGCTTCATCCAAAACCGGAGATATTGGTGCAGCTTAAGAACGTTAGAATATGCATTGCAGCTTTATGTTAAAATTCATTCAAGGGCTTACTCGGAGTGGACGGCTTTTCTGGTGAAGCGCTTTCAGAAGCTTGTTGTTGAGCTTGCAGTCTCCGTTGTTCCCGGTAGTACTCAACATTCTTACTGAGGTTAGTGAAAGCTAGAGACAGATTATTCCGCCCAGTGGCCCATGTCTTCGCTACAGCCTCTTTGCCGGCGTGGACTTTCTCGTCTAGTCCAAGCTCATGCACTTGCCTACAACAAAGTCAACATGGTGATCGCTACAGAAACACAATGTTACATACTGTGCGATTCGTCTTTGAACGTCTTCTACGGTTAAGCCACCGGCCATCACATGTTTTGGAGGAACCAAATCGAACGGTATTTCAGGGTCTAATCAACATTAGCGGTTATATTCCCGGACCAGGATAGGGAGGACGCAGCAGACCTGTAAACTTTTGAAATATCCTGAAATTCTCTGTTTTCTTCCAGTAATCTACAAAGTCGGGATTGAAGTCAATCGATGGATCTCCCTCTAATCATGAATTAGCTACTGAATACCAACTCGGGGTTAAATACCTACCAACATCAGGCAATGTCACATTCGTTGCTCCGGCATGCTTTTCTAGGAATATGTGATACTTCACAGCAGATACCATGGAAAGCATATACTCTTCGAACTGAAGTCGAATGTACTCCTCACTCCCGACAAAGCCCATAGTCTTCGGGCGCGACGGATCGGCTTTATCCCAGTCAATGATTGTCCATTTCGCCTTCTTAAGATGCAGCACTCATACCTTCATCCCAGGATTCTGTCACAGATTGAACTAAGCTGTCAATCCATCGTCTGTCGGCCGCAGAAAGGGCCAATGCAATTCTTAGTGACGACGAAGTGATGTTGACTGTCTTTTCCTCGAGCTATAGTTCGGTTGTAAGCCGGGGGGCTTGTCAGAAAGTGAGAGGCTGACTTGCGTTTATTAGAATATCCGAATATCTATCCCTTTGTTGTAACAACAACGAGTTGGTACTCCCAACTATGTAGGACTTCGTACCGACATCCGCCAGAACATCCAACTGCTGTAAAGGCGTGTATGGTCCGAACAAACTGCCCTTAACATTGCATATGTCAGCATAAATCTCTCAGATCACGATCGGGCTACCAACCCTGCCAAATATCTGGAGTGGAAGGCCCATGAACGCCAACACTACACATCAGGCATTAGTACGCCTCAGTGTAATGAGAATACAACTACTGACGAGACTTTCTGTTGGACATTAGTATAGGCTTTAAGTCGGATATTGAAAGTGCTCAGGGTCCTGACCTATCACTCGTTCGTACAGATGTCGGTTTCACTAACGTCGACTCATAGCTATCTAGGTCCGGATCGCTGCAATCTTGCAAATTTCGAAGTAGTCCCGGGATAAGGGACAGTAATGAAAACTGTGTCATGCACAGAGTTTCACCTCGGCTACCAAAGAAAAGCATCTGGACGACCCATAATCAGTCAATCAATCGGGTGATGCTTTATGATTTGCATTTCCAACCTTTGGCTGCAGAAGCATGCACTTGAACAATACCAAAGCCTGATGCTTGAATTCGTATACGAGTTCTCTTAGGGGTAACCCTACAGAATGTGAGTGTGTTTCTTCAATAGAGGACCCCCAAATAGCTTCCACTAACCTACAAAGTGGTCTCGTTCATTCTCATTTTCCAAGCTGAGCTTCAGGCTCGCTTTCAAGCTTTCTTGGAATCGCTATATGCCAGTCAGGTAACTGCAATCTGAAGCTACAAAATAAACTTACCTTTATGATATCCAGATCTTCAAAGTTTCTATAAATAGCAACCTATGAGCCTCCGACAAACAGCTCCTTGGGATTATTTCAGCGCATACCTCTGTGCAAACCACGCCTGAGTAACTGCCGATAATTGCTGCTTTAAGTGCCCGAAAAACACTGTTGGGCTATCTGCAATAACAACCACGGCTTTCTGCACCGTACTTCTAGTAACATCGGCCGGTCGGTCTATGAGCTCTCTGCTGTCCAATTGCCTCGTACACGAGATTCCAAACAATGTGGAATGTCTGTCGCCATTGGAATGTTTGAGCGTAAAATACGAGAAGTCTTCGGAGAAGCTGTGAGCGCCGTCGGTGAGGGCTAGGAACGGGAGCAGAGGCCACTCGGAGATGTCGTTCTCGTTCTCGACGCCTATCCACTGTTCGACTTCGGGTCCCCTACAATTCCCAAGCGTTAGAGTCTGACTACACAAGGCAATTTCGGCAGCCAAACTCGATGGGACGTAATTATGTACTTGCCTCGCGTGATTGAAGGCTATGATGCTAACAACTGGATAGCTGCTACAGGCTTGTTGGCTCATGAGGACTTTGAGCAGCAATACGAAGGTGTAGACCCTTGCTTGTTGAAGGTTGGATTTGAGCTTGGTTTCAGGATAGTAATCGTGTTGTATGGCGTTGTATATGAGGCAACGGTAGTTCCAAAGAGTTGCTTTTAACAAAATAAAGCACTCAATTAGGGAGTCTCGCTAATTTCAACAAACAGCTAGCTCCGGGTAACAGTCGCCATTAATTCATCACGAAGTCTCACTCACTGAATGACCGTGAATGTGTCTTCGTTTTCAGGTCTATTCTTGCACATTGGCCTACTCTGCAGAATCAGAGCAGTTCGGTCCGCACATTGAACGTCTCCAACGCTCGGGCGAAGTGCAGCGAATCGGTGGTAGGAAACCACATTATTATTTGTGAGGAGGTTCTCATGATCGTGATAAACATGCCTTGCTTCTATCTATCCTGAGCGCCAACAAAAACCCGGCACACCCCACGCCCAATTGATCACAATTGACACCCTTAAGAAATTCAAACACTGGATAACAAAGATCTGCGCCAAGAAGGTATAGCTTTGGTGGGTAAAAGTTACAAGAAACAAAGGCGGGTGAGACTGCAGAGAAACCAATCATGCCTGCTGGTTGTCGACGTTATGATAGTCGAGAATCTCTGAGTACCTAGATAGATGTCAGATCGTATATCCAGACACCAGTTTTGGGTTCGGTACATACATCATGATTTTCCAAGTGTCAACTGGCAAGTCCGCATCGTTAAACGACCAGTCAAACTTCTCCTCTGCTGCCGGTTCATCTGTAGGGTCATGATAAGGCGCCAGATACTCATGTGCTAGACCCGCTTCTGCCGAAATCCGTTTCTTGGGGTCAAATACAAGCATTCTCTCGAGAAGATCAATCGCTATGGCTTGTTAGAATCTTTCTCAATCATTTGGCGCAATCCTCACCAAGCGGGTCAGCATTTTTGAATTTGTTAGTTAGGGGTTGGCGCGCTCGCTTCGGTAATGATTGTACGAATCGTAACGTCTACAGCAGATTAGCATGCGGCTCTCCGAAGAATGTTGTAATTAGGTCCTTGCATTTTCGCTGCAGATAGTCTGAATGACGTCATCGGGCGGCGTCCCAAGAAGCTCAGTAATGATAGAGAATTGGTTGACATGGTCTTTCCCAGGAAACAACGGCTTTCCCTCGAGCATTTCTGCGAAAATGCACCCCGCGCTCCAGATATCAACCTCCACATCATACTTCTGCCATGTGAGCATAATCTCCGGGGCACGGTAATATCGTGTAGAAACGTATCCCGTCATCTGCGGATCTTGGATTCTGGCCAGTCCGAAATCGCAAATCTTGAGGTCGCAGTTCTCGTTGACAAGAATATTGCTGGGCTTCAAGTCACGATGAACAACACCTGCAGAATGGACATATTTAAGTCCTCGCTAGGAATCGTCAGTGAATCGCAAGGCAGTTTTGTTCAACATTCACTCACTAGAATCTGGTATAGGAAATATTGGATGAACTGCTTCTCCAGTGGTCGAGAGGTTAACAGGCGGTGCAGATCGGTACCGAGTAACTCGGTGACAAAGTAGCTGAAACCGAATAACGTAATATTAGTGACATTGGATAGGGCGAGGGAAGGTGTGATGGAGCATTTACATGTCCTCTAGTGGCGAAATAAAGATATCACTCAAACTAATTATCTGCAATAAGATTAGTAACTCGTACGATAGAACAGCAAGCAGAAGGTAACTGGAGCGCCTTTACGTTCTCATGTCGCAGATGCTTGAGTAGCTTCAATTCACGGTATGTCCGCTTTGACAACACCGGAGTGCTGAAGGGCTTCATGATCTTCTTGACGGCAACAGATTGTCCTGTCAACTGGTCCTTGGCAGAGCTGTACCACAAATCAGAAAGGTAGACATGGATCTCTGTATCTCCAGAATTACCAGACTAGACCGAACGCTCCCATCCCGACAGGCTGAAGATCGGTGTATCTGCCACGTTATCATGAGCGCACGAAAGAATCATTGCGGAGAAGAGTAGGTACCGGCTAGTTATCTCAAAAGTAGTTCCGAAAATCTGGGCACGAACGAACTCCGCCATGATGAATGTAGATTATGATGACTTATTTGTGGTTAGATGTCGGCCGGCAGTGTTCTGCTGTGTCGAATTGAAATAACGCTCCAAAGCGTTGACGACCGTCCCGGTTTGATCAACAATAGTGGCAGATGCAGTAGTAGACTGAACTGAGCGCTGGAAGAGATAGCTGGTGTCTAGGCGAAGGTGTCTTTAGTTATTGGTGAGTCCGGAAGGTCCGTTTAACAGATGAAAACGACGACGAAGACAACAACGGTGGGGTGGGATGGGGTGGATGTGAGGGGGGTGCGTCGGAGATTTACTGAGAGCAAGTGGTTCAAGTGGTTATCAGGGACGTGCGCGGGGCGGGGCTACTGGAATGGCAAGGAGCGGAACGCGGCGAAGTGGAAAGGATCTGATGGTGGAGAGCACTTAAACTGAGCAGGCTCGATGATTTCAAGGTTGTCCCTCTGTCCCGAATTTAAGTAGAGCTTGCAGTTGTTTGTAACTTGCGGCAGAGTAGGAGTTGAATGGCACTTGAAGATGCACGGTGACGAACGTCACCAAGGGTGGGGTAACCGATTCTAGTATGATACAGAAACCAGCAGAATGCGGCGCCTCTTTCTCTGGGCTCCATAAGCAGGGTAAACCCCTCGATATGCGCTACCTTCGGTGCCATTATTGGCCGGAAGAAACTTCCGCTATCCGTCATCTGTCTTCGGTCGGTTTCGTTCCTGTCGATGAAATCTGCCAACTTTACATATCTATCCTGGAAAACACGAACACGCATTCTGTGGCGGCTTGTTGAAAGTTTGATACATATACCGGCAAAAGGCTCTCAATCTTCACATGACAATACGTAGAGTAGGTCGCCGACACAGCCCGACGGCTAAAGAGCGTACTAAGAGGTAACTTCGATATCCTCAGTGCAGCCGGCCAACGTGGCATGGAAGGTGCATTCCGTTAACTGAAGAAAGTCTCCTAATACCGATATAGCCCGCGTATAGGTAGTTGACTTCGCCTAAGTGGACCGGTATCTACGGTTTCGCTTCGTCAAAAGTGACGTCGAGTGAGAGCCCATGTTGTCTTAAACATTTTCAGTTCGGGATTCGGGAAAGAGCTGCGGATCTCGGTCAGGGTTAGGGTTATTGATAGTAGTTTCATCCAATACATCCAATCCTAAGAACGACCCGCAAGTCTTGGCCGACAGCTTGGCACGAGAGTAGAATGTATAATTATGCTGTTGCATTCCGCTTCTCTCTTCTCTGTACACACCGCACAACATTACCTATATCAGAGAACTGGCTTTGTATACCGTGATGGATGCGATCGTTCTGAAACTGTCCGCCAAACCCTATCGGCCATCGTCTCCAGTTCCGAAGCCGAGCACGACTTCCGCAGGCGGTCTCCGCTGTTGCAAAAGGTCTAAGTCGGAACTCAAATCCGTTAGATACTGCTCAACATCCCAGGTAAAAGCCCGTGCAAACACCGTCTGACGGTTGGCTGTCAGCGCCACTCCATATCAGGGATCTCTGAGCAAGCTTACCTTCGGACAAGATGCGAAAAGCAATTCGCAAGCTGGCGTTAGAAAAGATGTTCACAACCGTCAGCCCTACGCGGACCTCATCCCTACGAGGGATGACATGCTCACGCTATGCGGTATCAACGGGAATGTCTCCAAGTGTCATATCACCCCCGATATTTCGACACATGCGCTCATGCCACTAATATCACTGACCTGCTGCCCAACACCTTCCTTTCCTAACTAGAAATCCAGAAACAACCCACATCGTAGTACGGATGGCATCAAGATAGAAGTGGATGCTAGTATCGCTTCTTTGATGGAGATAAATAAAACTGTGTTGGGAGCGAGACAATAAATATGTATGTCTGGGGATCGACGAGACTTTAATTACGGCGGGACGGGGATATCTCGGGACACCGTGGGTCGTGATCTATGATCGATAATGGATCGGCCGAAAGAACTAACACGCAGTTCCAACCATAAATCCACGGCAGCCCCAGTGTATGTACTCTACACATGCAGATCCAGATACTGAGCAAAGTTAATTCCGAACTCATCGATATCTTATAAAGCAACAAACCCCATTCAAAAGTGAATTTGTTTATAACATATCCGCGAGACCTCCCTGGGATTACCGCTGGGAACTTTCTCCGAAGTCACCGGCTCACGGACAGACGAGCCACCCTAGGCTCTACTGAGATCTCGCCTCGCCTCGTGCCGAACACTACTGCCCGATCACAGTTGTCCTCCCTCCCAACCCAACGGCTTTTCGGGAGTACTACTTAGCCAGAACGGTCTTCTATGAAGCTATTCACAGAGTGCTCAGTCTGTCTGCCGATTCGGGAGAAAAATGCTCAGGGAGAAATCCGTCTGTTGAGCACTGTGACTCCCGAAGATGACTACCGGTATATCGTGACCCAGTGACGCCGCTTATAACTGTTAATGGTCTAGATTTTCGTTTCATTGCCGTTTATTAGCTAGGAACTGTCAAGTTAGACATGGTTTGACATTGCAATTATGTTGCCAACTATCTTATTCTTTGTTGTCAGACAGGCTCTCAACAATAACTTCTATTCTCAGCGAATACCTTGTTCTGGCGTTCAAGACGTCGACACGAAGGAGATATCATGTATTGTGACGTGCAAGGCAGTCTCGGGGAGTTTGGCTGTGCCAAGGGTGGAGATGTGTCAGATTCTTGGTCCCAAGGCGTTCAATTATCCCACCTACATGAAAAACAGTTGTTAGTATAGCGCGCATCTGACGGTAGTTACTGGTACTTAGTAGTATTGACAATAGCAAAAGCGAGTCTCAAAGGCGGCCATACCGAAAGTTGTTTCCTTCAACAATAAAGGCAGCATCCGTTACAAGGAGTACCCACGACCGCTCACTCCATTTTTAGACCAAAGACCACTCTACAACTCTTTGTGCTGACATTCGTTGGTTGCTCCAGTCAGCTCCATCCAGGGCCGATGTTTGGGAGAAGAGCCGCCAGCTAGTGCCTCGTTTGATGGCCCTCAGCACGGACCTTCCTCACCAACCTCACTTGT